CGCGATACTTCGCTACCCCGTCATCTCCCTCTCCTCCTCCTCCTCCTCCTCCTCCTCCTCCTCCTCCTCCTCCTCATCCTCATCCTCCTCGTCCTCCCCATCCCCTCATCACTCCCCCATCCCCCTCCCAATTCGCAATCCCGATCTCCCCATGCCCACATCAACTTGAACGCTGAAGATATATAACATATTTCTCCCCCGTAATTCCACTCATTTCAACTTCCATTTCCGTCGTCTCAACAAGTCCGCTTGATGTTATCGTTTATTATGATATTGATTAAACCGCGATTCAGAGGAGCTTGACGGTAAAGATGCAAGCGACGACCGAGGCTAGAAGCAATGGAAGTGAGCTCCGAGCCGTGTAGGCCGAGCTGGAGAGATCGAGCTGCTTCCAAAGGATCGCTGGCACATCTACGTACACCTTATTCACGCCGATGGTCTTTATCAGCTGGGAGAGCTTGGCCGCGTCGACTTTGTCGCCCTCGCTCGACCAGACGGTGAGCGTCGGGTTGTTGGCCTTGGTGCTGGTCAGGAGGGTCTTGAGCACGTTGACATCGTTAGCGGCGTAGCAAGCGCGCACAGGATAAGTTACCGACTGATTCGTCTTGCTCTCCTCGACGTGCTTCACCATCTCGTTTATTTGCTCGGCGGTGTAGCTGCCGCCCTCCTGGACGCTTGGCTCCAATCTAAAAAGTTTTAATTGGCATTTTATTGATTGCACAATACTCTTCGAGCCGCACGTTCGATCGCTTGTTTGTTATTGCACAGCTCCCATTATCGATAATAAATGTACAAAGTCACGTCCCATTGTTGCGTAAGCGTGCGTAAGCCGACCGATTCCCTTAACTTTCTTTCCCTTAACATTCACATTCGTGGCTTGATAATTTGATCATTTTCCCGGTCACATTTTCCACGCAACGATGCTAATGCGTACGGCGCGCACGACCTTTCAAAATACGTTTACTTTGCCAAGTCACCACCATAAACGAGCAAAATGCATCCCCTTTACACGGACGAATGCTCGTTTTATTACTTTTTCACAAACGGCTGTTGTGCGCAGGTCCTGTCTTCAAGCAGCCCTTCTAATGATGAAAAATTTTTTTTTGAAACGATGATAATTTTCATTATCTCGACGACAACGTTGTATTATTTTACTGGCTGGAAAAACTTCTTTTTTTTTTATTTTAACTATGAAAAAGTATTATCCCTTTATAGATCGTGAAATTTTCATTTGCGATAAATAAACTACATTATTAGGCCAATGAAATCATTCAAAAGAAAAAAATACAAAAAAAAAAAAAAACCCCAAAAACTTGCGGAATAAGGTGCATTTTTCTTGAGAATTATTCGTAATGTTCGAGGGAAATAATAAATATGCGTTTAAACGAGCGATGACAATTTTATTTCGGTAACATTTTAACCATTTTAATTGATCTCGACCACTTTACATTCGTGATAATGTATTTTAATTGAGAGCCAAGAGCGAAAAATCACTCAAGTTTTATGATAATACTATATTGCACTAACCTTTAACGGTTAAATGCAGAACACTATTTTTCGGTTCAATGGAGCAAGTCAACATAGACTTTAGGTTTAAACAATATTTCACTGTACAATGACTCATTTTCTTAAACTAAAATTATTTGCAATGTTTTTAAAATACAATTCACAACGAGCCATTGTATCATCTAGTTCAGGTATTTCATTTTTTCTTTCTTATATATTTTTTTTCTTCTTTTTTTCTTTTTTTCTTTTTTTTTTTCTTTTTTACCGTTTTTCTTCCCCATGTCAAAAATTAAAAACGTATAACAAGTATCACGAAAATACGTTCGCATTTCTTGATAAGGAAATAAAAAATTTTTCACCAATTTAACGCCATCCATTATCACCAAGTTCCAGCCTAAAATATTATTCGCCTCCGACTTAGAGCATTCGGATCGCGATTGTGTGCATTTTCGAATAAGGAAACTTGCTACGGGAACCGAGTTTTTACATCACATCAGAAAATCCGTGTCACATCTCACACAAGCTCATCGTCGATTCAACAGCTGTTTGAGTTTGAGGAAAAAACGCCGAATATTAAAATATATTTTTTTTAAAGTTACTGTAACGATAATGGGATGCAGCAAACCGCTATGAGCTAAGCAGCAAACCTCGCATTCGAATCAAAAGTATCTTTTCGTCCTTGAAGTTGTAAGGCAAAGGTGTCTTAAGCACCTTATTATAATGAGCCCTGGTCGCTTCAAGTTTCGGTCCTAATTAACATCTTCCCCGTGGCAGTGCTACAGTACACCGCCCCTGACCTCGGTGCAGTCGAGAAAGCTATCTCCCCCCTCCGTAAATCTCTCACGAAATAAAGTGCCGCGAACGCGTAGGAGGATATGTCCTCCGTATGACGGATCTCCTTTTTCTTTTTTTCTCATTTTCTCGCTTTGTTATTTTATTTATCAAGGTGTTGGGTGTCGTCATGGCCGGCACGCCTCCCTCTCGGGCGTTTCCCCACCGGACTCGGTACATTCGTCTTATTTACCTGGTGGTCCAGCCGATCGATAGGAGCGCTTGCGGGAGCTTGGCTGCGCCGGCGAAGAAGCGCTTGGCGTCGACCGGCAGAGGATCGTCGGTAGCATTCACGGGCCCCTTGAGGATGTCCGCATTGAGCCAGAGCGGAATCGTCAGCTGTAAATGAATCGTAGGCTATTATTACTCGCCCGAGCCACGACGATCTCGCAATTCGCTTTACGATGAAACTTTCTGCTCGTCAACTCTTTGTTTAAACAAACAAACGCCCCATTATTTATTTTATTAATTCACTGATTAAAGGGCTTGGTCGATTCAAGACCACTTTTGCCCCATGTTATTATATATAACGAATTATTTACAAAGCCTGCTGTCATTATTAATGATTAACCTTAAAGCAATTGTAAAATTTCATTATTATTATTATTGTATCTGGATTGTCGAAGCTCTTGCAATGACTCTTAAAATGATCTTTCTTTACCGACGAAAGAATCCAGATAGTTAGAACGAGCGGATTAAAAAAATACGTGTGATTTTTAAATATTAATTTTGTTACATTGAAACGACATACTCTAACTATAAAATAAGCAATGGATAATAAGTGCATTTATTTTGAACTATTGTTATTGGTAAAAGATTTTATGCGGAATCAGTACGCTACTGATGTTTAAAATCACGCACCTAAAACAATTTAATAATGTTACGCGTAGTTGTAATATTGTAAACGATAAAAGAAATTGAATTGAGGTAAGTGTTACCGAAGCTTATTGTATTGGAAAAATGTGTATGCGTGTGCGCGTGCGTGCATAGGCACGCTTGAATGTGTTCGCATCCGTGTATTTTATGACTCATTCCTGATTTAAGCGGATAAGTATTTATCTACCTTAAGCTTTTAAATTTGCAAAACGACATATTGTTGTTTGATTAAATAAATATTTTTTTCTTGTTGTTTTTTTTTGTTTTTTTTTTTTGTTTTGTTTTTGTTTTTTTTTTTGTTTTTTTTTGTTTTAAGGAAAACTAGACTAGTTAGCAATGACTATATAGAAATAACTAGTTAATAAATATTTAAAAGCATTTCAATTCGTTATATCTAAAAATAATTAATATAAATATTTCATAAAAGTTCATTTTATATCACTCAGTTTATTATTCATGTCACTTTATGAAAACAAGATATACTTATACAATGTGTTATATATATTATAGAGTGGATAATTTTAAAAGAATTTACCGTTTTTTATCAATTTATGTAATCGAGAATTATATTTTCAGTTATTTTTAATTAAACGCGTAAATAATTGGAATTTTTTTACTATTCCACCATTTGTTAAACGACTAATTATAGTGAATTAAAAATCTACACTTACAAATTCTGAATTATATAATTTTATGTATTAAAAATGAATGATTTTGGATAATTAATATTAAAATATAGTGTGACAAAATTATATTTCGAATCAATTTTAATTTTTCCACTTATCCTTTCAAATACGAAACAAACGAAGAATAGAATTATTGAACAAAATATAATTTTATGCTAAAATTAAATCATCAATGTAGATTAGAAATATAATTCATTAATGCATGCCTATAGAAGTCTATCGTAAGAAATTTCTATTAAATAATGATAAAGTGCTCAGCCATGTTACTTACATTTCCAGATTTTTGAATAAGCGTCAGTCCCATCTCATAAGCTTCTATACTTTTGAAGTCAAGCTTGATACCTTTTTTCTTATCAGGCGTCACTTTTTTAAGAAACTCCTCGAGACTCAAGTCGCTTGTAGTATTAGGTGGATGACCCATGATAACTGTATCGGTTCCATTTGATTGATTATTTAATTTGCCGATGATTACATCTCCTTCAAGCATTCTTATGTCACCTAAGAAATCAAGAATATCATTACATCGATTTGATATCTAGGAATGTATTTTTCCGGCTTAGTCCCCCCCCCCCCCCCCCCCCCCCCCCCCCCCCCCCCCCCCCCCCCCCCCACCCCCTCCCCACCAG